CCGGCCGAGGCCCCGGTACTGGGCCGCGCTCTACTTCGCCACTGGGAGGCAGCGGAGCGCGGCGTGGCGGTCGTATTTATGTTTCCTATGGCGGCTAATTTGAGTCCCCTCGCGCAGCACCAGCTCCAGCGGCCCCACTACACTCTCTGGCGCCGCTGCCGGAATGCAGTGTGCCGGTCCGCCGCCGTCGCGGACGGAGCTCCCCGGCGAGCGAAGCGAGCGGAGCGCCCGCCGAAGCGAGGGTAGGCAAGCCCGCCGAACGCGCGTGCCTCGGCTGGCCGGGGACGGCCTACCTCGCAGGCGCCGTGCCTCGCCCCTAAGCGCTCCAGCAACGACACACGCGACGTACTGCGGCGTATTGATTTCGAACGCGAGCTTATTGAATTAGCCGCTCGTTCGGCGGGCCGGACCGGACAGCCGCCTCGCTGGGAGCCGGACAGGCCGGGACAAGCCGCGACGGCCCGGGAGGGGCTGTCCTAAAAAGCCTTGTCAATTCGTCATTGTGGGCGCCGAGCGGACGTGATAAATGATGGCCTTCTTGAGCCGCAGCGGCACCGCAGCACCGCGCCGAGCCGAGCCTGGCAGCCCGGCTGGAGTGCTGCTAAGCAGGCCGTCCGGGCCGGGCAAGTTCGGGGCCTCTCACCGCACCACCACCTCGATCGGGTGGCGGCAAAAAAAGACCTCTCTCTCTCTCTCTCTCTCTCTCACACACACACACACACACACGAACGATTTGGGTCCCAGTGAACTTAGCAGCACAGACAGATGGCCCAGAGAGACTTCACTTCTTCGCGTGCCGTGTGGACTCGCGGGACCGGCCCCTGCCCCTCCCCCTCCCCTCCCACGTATGCAAAATAATTCTTCCCGCGGCGGACATGTGGCGCGCGGCGCGCACATATGTTGTCACCGTGTTGTGTGTGTCCAGCAGACCGGTGCCCTTTGCCCGCGGTGTGTGTGTGTGTGTGTGTGTGAGAGAGAGAGAGCACCACGACGTGAAGGACTATCCATCATACTGGTGACCCCGTCCGCCCAGCGAGCCTAGCCTCGCCCCGGGCCCCGCCTTCCCGCACAAACCACTTCCTTCCCGCAGGCTAGATCCCGAACATCGCTTTCGTCGCTCTGTCTCTCTCGCACCCGTGGGGGGTTGCGCGTAGGTGCGAGAGAGACGAACGCACTGGAGAATCAGTCTGCCGCTACGGTGCTGGCAACGGCCCGGAGATCCCGAAGACCGCCCTCTCCCTTCCACAGGTAGCGCGCGCCACGAAAGAACGGCGGGGCGCACTGGAAACCACTAGTGACCGTGCTTCCAGTGTGCTTCCAGTGTGCTTCCAGCGGCCTTCCAGCAGCCCTTCCAGCAGCAGCCCATCCGGCCGGGCTATCTGAAGGCCGTGTTAAAATGTCACTGCCGCCCTGGGGAGCGCAAGAGGCCTGCCCTTCGCCCGCCCTGGCCGCCCTGGACTCACAGCGTCAGGCCCGCACGTTCTCCAGAATTACTCCAGCGCTCCAGCGGTGCCTGGAGTGTGTGTGTGTGTGTCCGTCCGTGCGTCTGTTGGCCCGTCGGTGTGTCTCTGGAGCGCCCGTGCCCCAACGCGGTGCATTCGCGGACCTTGTAATGCTGGTTGCTGGCAATGAGGGCGCGGCGGGGTGCGGTGGGGTGCGGCGGGGTGCGGCGGGGTGCGGCGGGGTGCGGCGGGGTGCGGTGAAGGCGTTCCTGACCCACAACCACACGACTACTACTTTGTTTTCACGTTTGCTCCCCTGCCGGTCTAGCTACGGCACGTGAATCTGGCGCGTCCGTCCGTCCGGTGATCTGTCGTTGTCGTTGGTCTGTCTGCCTGCCTGTCTGTCCGTCCGTCCGTCCCTCGGGGTGTCACTGATTGCGATCTGGCCGTATGACTTGCAGGCAGAGTGGCGCGCGCGCAGTGTGGGAACGAGCGAGGCCCGGAGCGCCGCCCAGCCCGAGCAGCCAGCCGCGCGCCTGCCTCCCCGCCGGGGCTGGCAGCAGCCGGGCAGAAGCAGAGCAGCCCTTCTCCCCGAGAATGGAGTGACGGAGGGAAGACAATGTGTCCCTGCAAAACGGACGGTTGCCCAGAGCCACTCTCAGTGCAGCGGCCCGCTCCACACAAAAAGAATCTGAAATATAAGTCGCACGAACTGTGCATTTTTCTCCATCGCCAACTTGACAAAAAAGATGTGCCAACGCGCCTTTTCTTCGGGGGAAAAAAAGAGGCGGGAGGAATCTCAGGCTGGTCGTTAGGGCGCTGAAAACTGAGAATTAGAGAGAGATGGAGGAAAAGGGGGGGGGGGCAAACCGAGGACGGGGGCTCATGGCAACACACGCGTCCAGGCGTGACCGGACATACTTCATGGAGAGCTGGTGCCGTGCCTCTCTGCGGCCCCTTGAGGATTAAGGACCCCGGGTGGTGGGGTGGGGGTGGGGGGTGGTGGAGGGGGCACTCGTGGAGCGGAATTTTGGCGCGTCGTTCAAACTAGGAGGCGGAAGTTCCCTTTTTCTGTCCTCTCAGGGGATGGCGGTTGCGCAATATTCGCGTTGAAGCGGTTGAAGAGGCATCGTGCAAGTCCGCGCGGGACGTCGCGGGACACCACGACCTGCCGCAATGCAAGCCCTCTCACTGGCTGAGCTATGGGACTACTTTATCACGTAACAGTGCGCCGCGGCCTTAGCATGCAGTGGTCGGCTTCGGCTCCACCACTTACCACACGAACACGGCCGCCGAGGAAGCAGAGAGAGAGAGAGAGAGAGAGAGGCGTGGAGAATGATATGAAGCATGGGGACATTTACGGCAAGCGTTTATAGGTCCTTTATATCGTCATAGCCTGGGCGTAAGTTGGCGAACGTGAGGGCTTGTGCCTGTGCCGCTGTGCGTAAGCGTGTGGTAGAGGTGAGTGCGTGTGTGTGTGTGTGTGTGTGTGTGTGTGTGTGTGTGTGTGTGTGTGTGTGTGTGTGTGTGTGTGTGTGTGTGGGCGTTCTACCCCAATAGCACCTAAAGCGTCCCCTAGGCTGCAAACGGCCCCGCCGCGGCCGGGCAAACCCTCTCGACTCCATAGCCTTCATCGTTCGGCCGAGAGGCGCCGCCACACTCGAAAAGCGCGACCGGGTTAGCCTTTACCGCGCGCCCATTGCAGTGTGTGCCGTTTGGTTTCGGTGAGGTTGGCTGCAGCGTCGCGACTCGCTAAATGGGCATCCGCGCCGCCCCTCCCGCCCGCCTTTCGCAGCAATTTGCAGCAATTTGCAGCGGCTGCAGTTTGCGAGTTTTAGGGAGAATCAAGCTGCACGGGCGCTTTGCTGCCTGCCGCTGCTGGGTGGCCCCTGTTCAACTTCCTTGGCTTCCCGTCAAACAACTTGGCCGGGGCGGGGCGGGGCGGGGCGGGGCGGGGCGGCGTGCAGCGTGGCCCTTATCAAGGCGGGTGTATCTGCTGCGCGGACCGGGGCCGAATAACGTGTTTTTGTACTGCAGCCGGGTTCAGAGGGAACCCCTATGGTGCAGCGGGCGACGCGGTGGCGTGGCGGGGCGTGGCGGGGCGTGGCGGGGCGTGGCGGGGCGTGGCGGGGCGTGGCGGGGCGTGGCGGGGCGTGGCGGGCCACTCTCCAAGATTGGCAGCCGCACGGTCAGGGGGTGCGAGGAGGGTGTGGTCCACGGAGGCGCGAACCTCGGCCGTCTTGATGTGGCCGCCGATGTACTGGACGAGGCTGGTCTTCTTCTTCTTCTTCTCTTCTTCTTCTTCTTCTTCTTCTTCTTCTTCTTCTTCTTCTTCTTCTTCTTCTTATTCTTCTTCTTCTTCTTCTTCATCTTCTTCTTCTTGCCTGTGTGACACGCGCCGCCGCCGGCAGGAGCGCGGCTCTAATCTTCCGCTATATGACTCACTCGCACGAATGTGGAGTTAAGGCAATTGGTTATGCCCGCCCGGCGAAGTTAAGGAAGTCGAGTTAGTCGATGCCCGCCGCCAGCCATTATTTCGCGCCAAGTTACCGCGACGACTCCGCGGATGACGCCGGCGAGGCTCAGCCGCTCCGCCGCTCCGCCCTCGGGAGAGTGTGGGTAGCGCTTTCGGGCAGGAAATCTCGAAGCGCGCTTCGAGAGCGACTTTTAAGAGCAGGACGGGGCCGGCCGGAGTAAAAGGGAGGCTAGATGGGCTATATGGGGTGGCAAGTTCTCTCCCCCGCCCTGGGAGTGACTGCCGCGCAGGATGCTGCAGGCAGGATGCTGCAGGCAGGCCGGGCAGGCAGCACTGGACTGAGGAAATGAGTCGACTTCCGGCGAAAGACGAACTGCACATGGCGAGACAGAAGTGTCTCCAGGAACACAGAGTGCCTGGCCTGGCCCGGCATATCTGGCAGAGTGAAGTGGGCAGAGTGGAGCCGGCCGTGCCACTGCAGACACCCAACTGAAAACGCTCTGTGGAAGTGGAAAGGAAAGAACAAACTCAGAGAACCCCCAGAAAAAGATTACTCATTTAACTTTTTGTTAGGTTATTGAACATGCGCCCATTGTCATGGGAAAGCAGCAGCACCTGGGCTAAGCCGCAAAGTGAGCCCGAGCCCTACTAGAGTTGCCATCTTGTTTGACATCAAGTTGGCCACTTTTGGAGTTGGTGCCTGGGTGCCTAGCGCGCGCAGGAGTTGGCGGGCGGCACCCTTAGAATACGAATCGCCCAGGGGGCTATTCCCACTCTGGCGAACAGATGGACGCCCTGCTGCCACGGCAAAATATGACCAATTTTTAAATTATTAATGTTTTTCATGCTTGGTAGTTGGTTTTGCACGATATTTACCGGATTGCCGAACAGAAAATACAATTCAGAAAATATTATTGTGGTTTGAATCCTTTATCATTTGCCTGAGTTCTGCCTCTCACCTCTAATTCTTTACCATTTTTACAAATTACAAAAAAGTTGGTACCTTGGACTTTCTTTAAAAATTAGGTTTGCGTGTTTGAGGAAGCCTTAACATTGGTGGTAAGAAACAAAAGACATATCCATTTCAGTCCAACATGATTTATAACATCAATATTTTACAAAAATGTCCACACAAATGGTATTTGTCAGTCACAAACTGTTTATTGGTTACATCTCTGTAGTATCAGATCAAACAATTTCCTATTGGTTTCTCGCTGAACAATACAATGTTTAACTCACAACTCTGAAGCCTTTCTGTCACATGGTGCAGTGACAGAAAAACGAATTGTGAATTAAAGATCTTGCAATTTGTTAAAATTTGTCTTGCAATCTGTTTGGCTAGACGCTCTTCAGTTCACAACTTGTTGTTTTTTAAAACAACAGCTTTACAGAAAAAATACAATATAACAAAAAGAATACATGTGACACATATAATTTAACACGGACGATTCACACATAATGTTACACCTAGGCACTGGAACTTATCCCAATAATTAGAGGCTCCAGGGAAGATAAATATGTATCACGAAAGTTTCTCATTCTTTCATAAAAATAATTCTCAGCGAATAAGTATCATATAATACAATACATTATGTGAGGCTTATGCCCAAAACATTCAAATTTTAAGCCAAGATCAGATTCACTTGTTTGTTTCTTGTCGATATGGCATATTTCCGCTTAAAAGAAGACAACCAACAATCACACAATCTTGTCTAGTTTACAGAAAGCCATGGGAATAAATCAGGATGACACAATACTCGAAGACACAAATTCGTTCCAAAATCAAATCTACAACAGTCTCAAGAAAAGTGAAAAAAGCGTACACTGCACTCAAGGAATTTCTCCCTACTGAAGACAGTGTGTCTCAAGGCGATTACATCGCATTTGGTCCCGACTGCCTCTAAAAGAAAAGTTTTCTAGTCATTTGCATTTTTCAAAGGCATAGACCAGAGAATGCAGTATTTTATGAGATTGGACCAGATAAAAGCAAGATATGAACAAAATTCCAGCGACTGAGGGGAACTTTGTTTTCCATTGGCCATTTCAAGTATGCTCATCATATTACTAATTTATTAAAATGCCTTGTGTGCACCGCTAAGTATTTACAATAATTTTTGTCACAGCGCGCAATGGAACAAAATTGCAAAATTCGTTTTTTAACAGAACAAGCGAAAACAAATATTTTACTCTTACTTTTGTTATCAAAATTAAGTTAAAAACACTTTAGAACATGATAACAAATGACCACAACACACCCACCCACACACACACAATCTCTCACGACAATTTCACACTTATATTAACATTCTCAAACGCGCGCAGGCGCACTCACACGCACGCACACACGCAACCAATGAGTCACACCGAATGATATGGTTGCTGCACCACAACTCTGAACTTATCGATTTAAATTGAAATACTTGTCAATGATTGCCACGCATGCGTGGGCTGTGACCACACTGCACTTGACTCACATTTAAATAACTAGAATTTAAAAAAAAGACGGTGTTTAGAATCTCATTCAAAAATAGTAGTGTCCTTCTTTCCCACTTGCAGTCTTGAGGTTCACGTCTTCACGGCGTGGTGTGGCATAAGCGGTGGCGAGGAACCCAGCAGGTCCCGCCGCACAGAGGGCGAGTCCTCACAGAAGTCCTGGAGCATTAAAAACGCCCTTAATTAATCATTGTTTGCAACATATTTTTTATTTTTTCACAGCCAAAGGGTTACCTGGATGTCCTCTGTGTTTTCCAGAAGCCCTTCCTCTTCCGCTGTCAGGTCCCGACTCCGCCCCCGCGGCCGCCCCCGGCCACGCCCCCGCACCCTGGACGCAGCCGCGGCCCCCCTGGCGGCCCCCCTGGGGGCGGGCAGGCGCCCCGCCGCCAAGCCGGCCAGACGCGAGCGTGACTGTAACACCAAAACATGATTAATTTTCATTTGGGACGTTTCATTACGGGAGTGCTCTCAACTGCTTCCTGCCCTGGGAATTAAAAAAAGAGAGTGGAAGAAGCCAGGGGAACGGAACAACGGCACATAAACACAAGCAAATATCGGACAAAAGTCCTCGCCTTCCGCGCCCCGCCGCAGGTCATGAAAAATGTAATCCGCTTGCGCGTGCGGCCCCCGCGGCCCCGGTGGCCCCTGCGGCCCCCAGCACCGCTAACTTTCCCGCGCGACTTTGGGTGTGATAAGTCGTGTTTAGTAATTTACGAGTGTTGGTCTTCATTTTCGGGTCCGACGCGAACGCGGCGACCGAATCACGCTCTGGCTATCCCTACCTGCAGCATGGTGACGACGATGCCCACGATGAGCACCAGCAGCGCGGCCACGGCGACGGCCAGCGTGGCGGTGGTGGTGGTCAGGCTGATGGAGGTGGTGTGGGGGCCGTGGCGGCGTGGGCTGGTAGCCTCCATGAGGCCCGCCGGCTGCGGCCCGGCGACCCCCCGCCAATCCAGCGGGCCGGGGGCTGCGGGGGCCTCGGCCATCTGCGGTCCCGGCGCCCCCGCCAGCCCCACGGCCTCGGCCAGGCCGGCCCGGAACGGCGTCGCCACCGCGGCCTCGGCGATGCGCCGCTTGCCCGCCGAGGACACGTCGGGGCACACTCCTGCAACACAACGCCGGTTCTGTCAGGTTTCACATCGACGGACGCGGGTTCAACCGCCGGCGGCGGCGAGGTTTCCGCGCCAGAAGGCTGCACAGCTCGCTGCCGACGGCGCCAGGTCGCCACGCCGGCGGGGTAGGCCACCGTGTCCAAACCTCGCCGACGACAAGCAAGCCAAGACGGCGCCGTACCCAGCGCAGCGGCGCACAGCGCGGCACAAGGCAACTTTCTAATTAGGTTTGCGACGACTCTGCCCGCGTGCCAGGCGGCCAGCCAGGGCGGCCGGCCCAGGGCGGCCAGCCCGAGCAGGCAGCCAGAAGCCGGCAACTTGTGAGAATCGCTCGAGAATAAGTGAGATTTACGCGACACTGCGCGAAGACAAACGGTGGACGTCGCCAGAAATTTATTCAATCGTTGCTGCCAAGAGGATGTGAAGGGAGGCGCGTGGCGGGGCGGGGCGGGGCGGCGACTACGCCCTCCCGAAGACGCGACGACAGCAATCTTGAGGCCCGCGAGGCCGCGACACTGTGGAGAAGCGGCGGGCAAGTGGCGCTCCGCTGCGGCGACTCGCCTAACTACTTGGGACGTGTTGACGAGTCGGGCCCGGCTAGAAGAGGAAGCCCGATACTTCTTGGCCGGGACTTCGCCCAGCAGCGACAACAACAACATCTACGACTTGGCACTGTTGTTGTCGAGCACGTTTGCCTACACTGCACGAGGCGCTGTTTGCGAAACTGCAGGCGAGGCAGCAGTGCACGTGTCAGGGGGAAGTGACGCGAGCGTCCGCAAAGACCAGCCGCCTCTTCCTTGTACTGTGCTCGGACTGCGGACCGGACATCCGGCCGAGCGGCAGAGCACTGTGAAGTGAAGCGATTCGACCGGAAAAAGCGCGACTCTTTTCATGGATCTGAAATCAAGCGAGCGAAAAAGACCACCCCGATGCCATTGCCTAAACCCGCCCAGCCAGGATTAATAACTGGTTTGCTACTCGAATCTTCGCGGTCATGGCAGCGTGGCCATCTGCATATACTCGGTTTAGGCCCGCTCCCTCCCCGAGCTGCTAAGCTACTACCCCACACTGCCGTCCAGACCGTCCAGGGCGGGGCTTCTTTGAGGCTCCGGGGATCAGACCGGATGGGTTAGAGCAAGGTCAACAGACACTATCAGCTCTGCGATAAAACCAACACGGCCGCAGACGGCAAATGGGCGAGAAATGACCGGCGAGGCTGTGCGATGCCCGGCTGGGGTAGCGGGAGGGGTAGCCAGGGTACTTGCGGCCAGCTTTGCTAACAGGCCGGATTAGGGCTTACAGGGCCTGGCCAGGCCAGCCGGCCGGCCCTAAGCTGCTTTCTTGATGATAACACCAAACCCTTTCGTTTGAATAGAGATTACGCGTGAGTTGGGCCGACCGGGGCAAGAGGATTGAATGCGGGCAGATTAAGCGGGCCGGGCCGGGCGGGCCGTGCTGTGACGCGCATGACGGGGCCTCACACCGTCCTGCTTGCCGTGTCAAAGGCCGGCACTCCGAAGCGCGCCAAAACGCGGTGTCAATTTGCTGATTTGGAAGCGCTAAAGGAAACCTATGGCCCGGAAAGCTCACACCGACAAAAAAAAAAGAAAAAAATGTTTGAAAAAAAATAAATTGCTAATTGGTTATTAGGAGGGCTTCGCTGGATACACTGCGCTGCTGTGGCGGCCGCACAGTGGGCCAGAAGACCGGTGGAGGCGACCAAAACTCCAGACGCGTTTTGAGCCCCAGAGTCGCTAAATAGGACTCGAACTTGAGCGTGTGACCCCACCAATGGATTCCTCGTTCGTAGAGCGATCCATTGGTGGGGTCACACGTTCGGTTCGAGCCCCATTCAGCGACTCTCGGGCCCAAAACGCGTCCGGGGTTCTGACCGCCTCCGCAGGTCTTCTGGCCCACTGTGGGCCGCGCTGCCGCGCCACTCGAATCTCCCGATTATGAGACGCTGTTTCGTTAGCGTCGCGACGAGTGTCACTTATTCATGGCCGCCGCCTTCTTTCCGCTCAAATATGTACGGCAATTACGTCGCCGAATAAGGCGCGTGAAGAGGACGCGCAAACTCAATATTCACAACACAGCCGGTGGTTGGAGAGAGAGACAGAGAGAGAGGAGAGAGAAAAAGTCGATGCATAACTTGCGTGTTCAGTCGTCAGACACGCGTGCGTGCCGAGTTGTTTCGAGGTGACTCCGTCCGCGAAGTACGTCGCCAGACGGGTCCTTCTCTCTATCTCTCTCTCTCTCTCTCTCTCTCTCTCTCTCTCTCTCTCTCTCTCTCTCTCTCTTCGGACGCGCCGCACTGTCGCCTCGCCGCGGTGGGATAGTGCCTAGTGCCGCCAAGTTGGTCCGCAAATCCGGTTTCGCGGACTTCTTTTCGAACGCCGCCAACTTTGGCGCGCGCTCGCGGCGACCGGAGGCGTTTCGTTTGATTGAATTCGCTGGGCGCGTGTGGCCGCGAAGGGGGAAAAGGGGGGGGGAGCATTGGAATGAGCGAAGGCGGAGAAGCACGCTCGCTCGCCCCCCTCCCCCCTCACCTCAATCTCCAATCCCCGCACGCACAATCCATGAATAAATGCATAGCGCACACACGCACACACACACACACAGAGCCACGAGGGGGAAAGGCACGGAAAGGCGGAAGAGATAGATAAAGAAAGATGGGATTATGACACAGGGACGCTCCAGCGAGCGGCGGTGGCGCCTGACTGGAATGCACTAATGGTCGGCCGGACAGACAGACAGACAGACAGACAGACAGACGGAGAGTTCGACACAAAGACACTCGCTGCAGGCCCGCACAACAGGTGTGGTTAACGGGTTGCCTACCCTTCCTTCCACAGGGGCTCCCGCTGGGTAGAGAGAGAGAGAGAGAGAGAGAAGAGCAAACTCGCCCTAATGAGCGATCGATGTCCGTGATTCAAATATTAGGACAAGTTTTCCGGGACGGTCGGTGGCGCGCCCCGCGCTCCGCGCTGCTCGTGAAAATGCATCCCAATAATAACTTGCGGAGATCAATTGGCGGAGATGGGGCGACGCATGGAGATAGAGCGAGCGAGAGGGGCGACGGCGCGCGGGGCGTGGCGAGCAAGAGAGAGGGCCGCAGCTGAACTTTGGCGCCGAGTTTCGCCGTAGCGGGTTGACATCAGCAAAAGCGAGCAAAAGACGAAAATTGGGTCGCTCGTCTAGGGCGCCGGGGCGTGGCGCGCCGAGCGGAGGCGAGTGCTACCGATTCTCTCGGGCCCGAGTCAATAGGGCTTCTTGGACCAGCAGCTGATCCGGCCTTGATGTCGGAAGACTACTCTGCATGAAAATGGCCGACCCGAAGAAGAGGGTCGCGGCGGGAACGACCCGGAACGACCCAAAACGACCCTCAAAACCTTGACACGTATGGATGGCCGCGGGGAAGACAAGCGAGAAACAAAGAGAGGCAGCAAAGTGCGCGAACAGGGCAGAGGAACAAAGATAAACATACGCAGATTGGTGGACACATCAAAAAGGCACGATTTATGGGCGACGGTTTTGGCTATGCCCTGGCTATGCACTGCGTTGTGCTGCCGGGTTTACAGTGGGGTGGCCGGCGAGGGTGGACACAGCCCCCCCCCCCCTCTCTCTCTCTCCATGCGGCCGCCGCTGCGTTATGGTTGGCACAACTGCGGCTGTGGCCGCGAATGTCATGGCCTGGAAGTCGGCCTGGCAGCCGCACAGTGGACTAGCGTGAAGACCGGTGCAGGCGGTCAAAATCTCGGACGCGTTTTGAGCTCCAGAGTCGCTAAATGGGGCTCGAACCGAACGTGTGACCCCACCAACGGATTGCTGTCCGAACGAGGAATCCATTGGTGGGGTCACGCGCTCGGTTCGAGTCCTGTTCAGCGACTCTGGAGCTCAAAACGCGTCTAGAATTTTGGCGCCGGTCTTCTGGCCCTCTGTGGCAGAGCATCAAGGCTTCTTCTACCAGTGTGGTGATCGGAGCGGCGGGTAACCGAAGACACGCCGAGACGCGCGGTCCCGCACGCCGCCGACGTCGACGACCCGCTCAGCAAGTTAAGTCAAATCCGAACTTACTTGCAGAGTCTGCTTTTTCGGTACCACCCCGCCGCCGGGGCCGCCGGGCCGTCGGGGCCAGCCCCCTCGGGGACGTCTGGTCGGGGAGGAGGGGGGGGGATGCCTTCAAGGAGGAACTCACGGTGGGCGTCGCGGCGCGGCTACTTG